CTCAAGCAGCAGAAATATGCATTATTTTGTGATAGCCAGTGTGGCGTGTGGTATTCATCTTGCTAGAAATTCTAGTTTCCATGCAAGATCGAAGCACATTAATGTACAATACCATTGGATCAGGCGTGAGTTGAATGAGAAGTTGCTGAAACTTGAGAAAGTTCATATCGATCAAAATAATTTTGATATGTTGACGAAGATACTACCAAAGAAAAATCTTGAAGATTGTTGTTTAATTATTGGAATGTCGAATTCTTCTCCATAGTCGGAAATGAGAGATTTGTTGGGTTATTTCCTCTTATGAGGAGAAAAACCCATGTTTGGGCTTTAATACCATAACCCATTAAGACCTTAATGATGAATATAAATATAAGAAAATTGGAGAAAGTAGGAGTCCAACCCTTTTTGAAAAGAGTAAAAATACAATTTTTTTTCTATGCGATCAGATTTCATCAAAGATGCGATCTTAAGTCTTTTGTGGTCCGATTGAGCTGAAATTTGGAGGAGAGGTTCAAAAGACACAAAACTACAATCTCATGGGTGGAGATCAAATTTTGAGTATGGGAACATTGGTTAATGTGTGTGAACAGTAACCGAATTTGTTGGTATATTTTTCCTTTTTCATATTGTTTTGTCGAGATTTTTGTTATCTTGAAGAAATATACGTTGTACCCTTTAGTTGTGATTAGAGAAGACTTTGTGTACCTATTATTTAATAGATAGTGGAGGTTTTGACTAAACTGGGTCCCGTAGTTTTTATTCCACGCATCACGGAAGTTTTTCAACGAAAAATAATTACTTGTGTTCTTGTAATTTGGTGTGATTGATTTCCTTAGAATATTTTCAGTATATAAAATTCTTAGGAAATGCATTTTACTTATTTTCTTTTGGGAGAAAAATTATTCCGCCGTGCGTTTATTTGTTTGCATCTCTCCCGACACAATGTACAATCATTCTCTAACATCAATACACTAACTTAGTCATTGGAGTTTACATGGGGTTGTGTCTCAACTCGATTACCTTATGAAGCTAACAGAGAAGTCATTTTGTAAGGGCCGATGATCATGACAATTGATGAAAATTAAACTACATTTTCAACCATCAACTACCAATGTTCTAAATTTTCTCGGCTATAAGTCGGAATCTTCCCCTCACTCAAGAAGTGCTAAAATTAAAAATCAGCGAACTACATTATTTTTGTCAATTTGGATTTTAGTTATTAATGAATTGATTAATCTAATATTCTTTTTAAAAGTTGCAAAACCATTACATAATAGAGCTATTAAGAATCTATTTTGACCATAATTTGCGGAGGAAAGTCAAATAGGAGAAAAACAAGAAAATTTACTAAAATGTTAAAAAAAATTAAGTACAATTAAGCTCCTGTTTGATGATTAAAAAAAAATTTTCAATAGATTTTGATAAAAAAGTTAATGAAATGTGTGATTGAAAAATTGTGGATCCCATAAAATATGTGGTTAGAATTAATTGTTGACTTTGACTTTGATTAAAATCTTGATTTTAATCCATTTCAAACCGGGGCTAAATCTCATTACAAATTAGAAATAAATAAATAAATTATAAATAACAAAGGGGAAAATTCATAAATAAGTTGTATACTTTACACCAATTCAAAAATCATGTTTATAATTTGAACATTCAAAAATTAGGGTTTTTTTTTAATTCTAATATAATATAATAT